TTGTTGTTGTTGTTGTTGTTTTTTCCGAGACAGGGTTTCTCTGTAGCTTTGGTGCCTGTTCCAGAACTAGCTCTTGTAGACCAGGCTGGCCTTGAACTCCCAGAGAGCCTGCCTCTGCCTCCCAGAGTGCTGGGATTAAAGGCGTGCGACACCGGGCGCCCAGCGTTCAAAAGTTATAAATATCCAGACCAGGTTTGGTGTTGGACACCCAGCACTTGGACAGATCTCTGAGTTCAAGGCCACCTTGGGGCAGTACTAGTGAGTTCCAGGATAGTCAGGACTACATAGTAAGACCCCATCTCAAATAACAACACTAAAAATAATCCATTCATTCAAAAACTTCAGAGAAATAGTAAACTAAGGTCTCTTCTTCAATGCGATTCTGTAACTTGTCAACTGGAGTTACAGATAGTCCTAAATGTCAGGTGGGTGCTGGGAATAAAACCCAGGTCCTCTGGACACAACCAGTGAGTGCTCTTAGGCACTGAGACATTTATCCAGCACTCCTAGCCTTTTTTTTTTTTTTTTTTTTTAAAGACAAGGCCTCACTATGGAGCCCTGGCTAGCCTGGAACTTTTTTTTTTCCTTTGGGAGGTAAGGGGTTCAAGACAAGGTTTTTCTGTGTGGCTGTGGCTGTCCTCAAACTCACTCTGTAGACCAAGCTGGCCTCCTTGAACTCAGAGCCCCTGCCTCTCAAGTGCTGGTATTAAAGGCAAGCTCCACCACCGCCAGGCTCATTTATCCTTATTTTTTTTTGTTTTTTTTTTTTTTTTTTTGAGACAGGGTTTCTCTGTGGCTTTGGAGCCTGTCCTGGAACTAGCTCTTGTAGACCAGGCTGGTCTTGAACCCAAGAGATCCGCCTGCCTCTGCCTCCCGAGTGCTGGGATTAAAGGCGTGCGCCACCACCGCCCGGCATTTATCCTTATTTTTTGATTGCTAATTTATCTTCACTTTTTCTTTGTTTTTTGACTTGTTGGTTTTCTCTATGAGACTCACTACATTTTTCTATGCAAACAATGCAGCAGTATTAACTTGTATACAGAGACCTATTTCTTTCCATAATGTTAGTTTGGTTAGACACTGGGAAATCCACATATTATAAGTACAATAATCTGACCACAAAACTTAACAATATTTTCAGTTTTACCTTACTTTTCACCTCAATTTTATTACAAATCTTATTTTACTAACTTTGACATATTTCATGCGACGAGACAAAAAAAAAAAAAAACAATGCACCAACCATCTAATTATCGTTGCAGAGCAAAACATAAAAGTAGCTTCAATTATAAAACTGCAAACAACGTGTAATGGTTAAAATACCATGCTTTACCGATCTGACACGTCAAATTCAAGAACACAAAGTAGAAAGAAAAAAAAAACTCCACATCTAACACATTATTACCAAAGAAAGGCTAGCCCTGCTGAGAGCGGGAACTAACTTTCTGACCTCTTTTCAAAATGACGAACTAGAACAGCAAAATCACACTCGGGCACATGGAGTACTCCTCTCTCAAATCATTCCACAGAGAACTTCATCATTTGCTCCGCCCTCTAATAACTCATGCAAAAAAAGTTGAGCACCCTCAGAGAGAAACAAGACACGGCGCATTCATAGAATGGCTTAGAGCCTTTCCTCGGGGCTAAGAAAACCTGCGTCTGCCCTTCGTCGGGGTCCGAAAGGAAAGAAAAACCTAGGCCTAAGGTTTCGCGGATACTGACATCCAGAAACAGATTTCTCGGCCAGAAGTTTCTGCCGCCATCCCTATTTTACCAGCAAAGGCTCGGGCGCCATCGTCTCGATCTTTGATTTTATTATGAGGATGTGGGAAAGGCTACCCAGGATTACTCTAGGCCTCCTTCCCCCACCCCATTAAGCTTAGGGGTACCCCTCATCCCTATCCTAAACCCTCCGTCCCTAACTCCTCCGCACCCCTTGTTCCTGGCGGCAAGTCCCCCGGGATGTGTAGAGGCGCGGCGGAACCCACCGGCCTCGCCGTTAAAGCGAGAAGGCCCTCGCACGCCAGGGCCACCGCCAAGGCTCCGGGGGGCCCAGCTAGGGGAAGGGCGGGCAGGGGCGGAGGAACGATGACCTGGCCGGGAGGAGAGGACGGCGTGAAGGGACCCATTGCACTCCCTTGTCCGAGGGCCGCACGGCACCCCGAGAAGGGGATGAAGGAGGAAGAGGGCGGTGGCCCGGGTGCGGCCCCCTACTCCTCCCGCCCGCAGGTCCCCGGTGGCGGGGACCGCGAGCTCGGCCCATCCCCTGCTCCGGGCTGGCAGGGGGCGTGGGGGCCTGTCTGGGAACTGAGCGGAGATCGAATCGAGGGACCCCGGGCCGCGCGCGGGGGGGAAGCTGCCTCCCGCCTGAACAGCAGACCCCGGACGCTGTCGTCGCCCGTTCCTCAGGAGAGAGGACAGGAGCTGAGGGGAAAGCCCGAGGGAGGAAGGCATGAAGGTGAGGGGAACCCGGGGGCCAGCCCCGACAGCCTCTCGGTCCCCCAACGCTTCACCTTCCCGAAGCCGCGTCCCTTACCGGTGATGGCCATGAACTGCTGAATTAACCCCTTCAGCGCCGACGCCGCCGCGGAGCCCCCGTGGGCAGCCATCTTACCGCCGCCGCCGCCGCCGCCGCGGAACAACAACACAGACACACACACGGCCGTCCCTCCCCCACGCCGTTGCGTTCTGCGCGCAGGCGCCCTGGCAGGCCCAAAGCTCCGCCCCCCTCCCACTTGCGCGCGGCTCGCGCAGGCGTGATCTCCGCCAGCCGCCGCGCGCACAACTGTGGTGGTGTGACTCCCGCGTCGCTTCCTTGCTAGGCTCCAAGTCCTTTGAAACCTTTGATGGCTCCCTCCAGCTCCGATACCTAAATACCTAAATACCGTGTGTGAAGCCTACTGTCTGAAAGAAACTTCAGAACTGAAATACCAAAACCTTCATGCAATACGCGGGGCTTCACATATACTAGGTATTTTGTTTGGTTTTGGAATATGAGGGTTTCTTACAAAATCTCCTGAGTACATTGGGAGCATAGGAACCATGGGAGAGAGTTGAAGGGGAGGGGAGAGAAAGGGAAGGGAGCAAAGAAAAATGTATAGCTCAATAAAATAAATCTGTGTTTCTTAAATTTTAAGTGTAAATTTAAAACTTAGTAAAAAAAAAAAGAACTAGTCCATAATTTAATAAATGATTATTCTGTTTTTCTTCAACAAATGTCTCAGTATGTCTCCTCTCGGAGTCAGTCTTATTTTCTTCAGATATAAAATGAGGTGTCTTTTTCTCTTTTTCTTTCTTTCTTTTCTTTAACAAAGATAGGTGTAAGCATTGCCGCTCAGGTGGGAAGGGATCCTGTCCCGAGCTAAGGAATGCTAGGTGCTGCAGCTCAGATGGAAGCCTATTCCGGCTGTCAGGGTCACAGTAAGTGTAGCAGTTTCTAGGGAAAGGTTTCCCCAATGTAACAGCTCTGTTCAGGCGGGAGAGGGCTTCCCCAGCAAAGCTGTTACAATTTGGCTATAGTCCCCCAAGCTGTTAACATCTGTGCTCTGCTAGTTGGGAAGATTTCCCCAGCGACACTGTTACAGCCCTGCTCGGCTCTGGCTCCCGTGAAGTCATTTCTCTTCTCTGCTCCATTCCAGGGAAAGAATGTCTTCATCCAAACCTCATTTAAGAGATTTATAGGGAGGGAAGAATCCAGGAGAGTGGCGGAAAAGGGGCAGTAGCCTACTGAACAGGTGCAGGGCTTATATAGGACTTCTTCTTCTTCTTCTTTTTTTTTTTTTTTTTTTTTTTTT